CCACAGATCACGGGAGAGGTCAACGGGGACGTCGGCAGTGCGGACGCCACGAAAGGGTTTGGCGGAGGCGGCGACACGGGCGTCGAGGAGCGACACAAGGCGGCGGTTGACGGTGCCGTCGGAGCGGCAAGCGGCGTCGTTAATGGCGGAAACGGCGGCGATGACGAATCGCTTGGTGCGCGAGAGGGGGGGAGCCACTGCGGAGGGCGACATTTCTGCCGTTTAGAAGAGCTCGTCTCGGGTGAAGGCCTCGGGAGCCGCGAGAGAGCGAGTTGGAGGAGACGAGAGGAATCGAGCACGGATATATGGACTGCGAGAGAGCACGAATGAGGTGACGTCACGTGGTAGACCAATATGCGAAATCCGACGCTTATTTAGTCAAAATGGTAACAGAACTACAATAAATTCCGTCCCCAACTCTGTCACATCCTCTCTCTCTCACAAGTGGGGCCCCCGTGACTTATGCGAACCCTTCCGCTCTGTCCTGGACGTTTCACACGATACCCGAGTACGAAATCGAGTAACACGCCGTGGACCAAACGTGTCATGCCAATCCGTCACGTGTGCTTGAAGTCTTGCAGTGCCGTATGGATGCAGCACAAGAGAGGAAACACGCATGACCATGTATACCAATTCGTACAAGTATACGATACTGCATGGCAAGTAGCCACCCAAGTCGGTAAACTACTCGTGTATTGAGGCTTCGTGCATGCATGCATGAGGAAGTTGGACGTCAAAGTTCGGTTGGGGCCGACGATTCCGTATGACGCCATCATAAGATTCAGAACAGAACCCTCCTCGCCAGTTTGACCAAACGACCAGCAAATAAAAACGTGAGATCACTGCAATGCACACGAAAAACGCAACACCAATTTTATGTGAAGGAAAAAAAAAGAAGTTGTGTGTTCAAACGTTTTCTCCTCAACGGTTGTTCCTAGAAAGGCCAACTTCTTGACTTTGCCAAACCATCGCTCCACCATTCTCTCTCGTGTTTTGGTTCCATAAATCTGACCATAAATACGTGTGATTGAATATATCAAGTAGTTAATAAACGAATAACATGCATATAGATTATACTAAGTCAATGATAAATATTTGTTATATCTTTTAGCTCCCTAGGAAACAATTCATGGGGTTAGCTCACTTTGTTAGAAGCGGCAAACATCATACCGTCAACCCCGACACAGGCAGGCAGAATGTTGGACGATTTAGAATAGATTCACACGAGCAGAACAAGTTTGACGAGTAGGACTCACATCAACGGACAGCCACTCCTTAATCCTCGTCGTCAAAACGAGGACTTTGTATCTTGGGAGGCTACTATGGCCTCGGTTTGATTGATTAGAACAGCATATGTCGAGCTTTCAAGAAGCTTAATTTGAACAGCATTTGAAGAGCAAAGCAAGAACAGTTGAATAGCAGATGATCCATCTACTTGATAACAGATAAAGATTTTTTTCAGGAAATCTCGTAGGATAGTTAAGGAAAATCCTTCCTTCCCACATGTATAAATAAGCCATTGTACTCAACTATTCATAACTACTTTTCATCATTACAATACAACTTATCATGGTATCAGAGTCATATTGCCTTAGAACAAGGTTTATCCTTCTTTTTTCACTGACCGCTGCTGTAAAATCCACCGCTCAAGTGCAACGCCACAAACAACTAGCCTTTTAAGCCATAGCTTAGACAACGAAGCCATCAGATGACCTTCAAAGTCCTCGAGCTCTACCACTGTCGCACCAGCTCCAAAGCTACTGTCAAATCCACCGCTCAGGTGCAGCGCCACCAACAACTAGTCTTTTAAGCCATAGCTCAGACGACCTCCAAAGTTCTCGAGCTCTACCACTGTCGCACCAACTCCAACGAGCAACGACGCCACTCCTCTCCGCCTATCAAGAAACTCAACGTCAACTCTACATTTCCTCCTACAATATATTTTGATAATATTAGAACTACATATCTATGTGTCAATCCGGTTTTCCATTCACGCATGAAATATATTATAATCGATTTTTATTTCGTGCGAGATCAAGTTGTTAGACATTAACTACGTGTTTCTCACGTCCATACGACTGATCAACTAGCAGACTTACTCATGAAGCCTCTCGCTCGTAAATTATTTTTGTTACATCGTTCTAAGATTGGCATCCTTGACAGGAGCTCAATCATACAGGGGGCATGATAACAGATAAAGATTTCTTCAACTGCATGAGGAAATCTCATAGGATAGTTGAGAAAAATCCTCAACTGTATAAATAAATCATTGTACTCAACCATTCATTAGTACTTTTCATCACTATAATACAACTTATCACCACTAACACCACAAGCAAACAAACTCACTCGAGAACGCGTGGTAGGCATTACATAGTAATTACAATTTAAGGGTCTTCCGTGCGTGCATCGAATTTTGCATCGGATGAAGCCTTGGTCATCAGCATATGGGGGCTGTATTCCACCAATGGTAAAAGTTCGAATGCAAGTACCAGTGAGTCCCATGGGAGGGACTTGATCATGCAGAGGTATGATCGAAGTAGCTGGAGAGTTAGACTGCTCTAGAGCCCATATTCGCTTAAGGGAGCCCGACAAGTCAGAGGACAAGGTCGAGTAAGCGAACGTTGCTACCAAGGAAGCTAAGGAGAACAGAATCAGTGCAAACCCTATAACGTGATGGCAGAGGCCATGCATGGGAGTTGTAGTCTGTCTTTCCATCGACCAAAGGAATCTGCTTGGAGAACACCGAGGTGTTGAAGCAGGGGGTCAAAAGGGGCGAGAAAGCGACGACAAGTCTAGAGGGACTTAGCAATCCAAAATCAAGCATCAGTTAGAATGGAGGTGGACTCAGAGGAGTGCCACAGAGACATATCTACTGATCGTGAAGAAAAATGATGCAGATGTGAGGCGACGGATAGTAGGGCCATGGGCATGGCAGCACCATGGTACCGTAGAGGCAGGACTTCCGTGAAAGTCATTGATCCCTTGCTCTCATGGAGGGAGAGCGCTTGGTCGTGAAACGACCGAGGAGGTGGAGCATTCAGAGGCAAACTCCAAGTACCGAGATAAGGCTGAAGGGCAAAGGCCAAGGAACTTCGTAAGACCGGTGTCAACGAACTTCTCATCAAGATAGTCGAAAGTGAAGGACTTTGGGTCAGACAAGAGTGCATGACCAAGGAACGAAGCAGACAGTACACGGTGTTGTACCTTTGTTACTCAGTAGAGTAGGTGGCAGGGTTGATGGAGAAGATGGTACAATCCCAGAGGCGACCAAACCTATGAGAGAATTACTCCAAATCGGGATGAAAACTTCCTGCATTCCAGAAGTTCGATGGCATTGAGAAGGTGAATCACAGTAACTTACTCGACACAAGGAGTGCAAACACTAAGTGCTTCAGAAGTGTGAGCAAAGAGTAGGCGAGCTTCCGGTGAACACGCAAGGGTGCCGCAACTCGCTTGTCATTTTCCGCTTGGTGCCCGACTTGGAAGACAACGATGGCGGCGGCGGCGGCAGTCCTGTTCAAGCGTAGCTTCTCAGTCTCAGAACGTCATTAGTTTGGAGGGGTTTGATGATGAAATCCTCGGCTCCAATAGCTCGGCACCTAATTTGAACACACACGCATGATCATTTAGTTTTGGAGAAGAAACATATCTTCTCTCCCGACAATAGAATGGGCACATCTCATTCAGCAATGCACAAATCATTGGTTTCTTTGACCAGGAAAAAGAAAGAAATAGAAGCAAGGCATGAAATATCGGATGGATGCCCAGACAAGACTAATGTTTGGTTTGTTGACAGCTTAAATGATGATGGTGCATTCAGCAGATTTCGTCTTTGCAGTGAACGGCATCCAAAGAAGTGTGGAAGGAAGATACAAAGCTGTTGATTCTCTGTGGCTCGTTTTCTGATGACATTACGATCACAGGAATGGGTTTTTGGCAGCTCTGTTCCTGAAGTGTAAGATGTAGACATGATTAGCAGGAAGATGAGGCAGAATGCAGATTGTTCTGCACAGCTTTCATACCATGACAGCCTTTAGGAGGTCATAACCAGTCATCTCCGGCATGCAGTAGTCTGTGAGGATTATGTCTACCTTCTGGTCCTACAATTATTGTCATTGTTTCAGTAACAAAAAATTAAAAACCTTTTTTTTTTATCTTTATCGACGACTGATACAAACAGTTGACTCACATCTTTCTGAATCCTTTCATCTCGTTTATATCAAAAACAAAAAAAGAGATGGTACCAATTAAGTTTGTTCCAATATATAAAATTTTATTTTTGTATAAAAAGCCGGCTAATATTTTTTGTACATATTAAAAAGCATTATGGGATATGGCACATACAATAACCAAAGACTGTGCAATCACAATTACTGTTATCTACACTCAATAAACAACTACCACTCTTCAATATTACTGTGCTTGTCACCACCACCACTTCGTTCTCTGTCCTCCTCCTTCCGAGGTCGGTGGCTGTCGACGAAGCTCTTGATCTCCTCCATGAGCACTGTGGATTGCTTCAGATCAGGGAAGGCGTAGAAGGAGTGGAAGGCCTCCGGGTACTCCACCAGCCGCGCCGACTTGCCCCTCGCCCTCAACCCCTTGTAGTACCTCCGCTGCCAGTCCTGCAGCGGGTCGAAGCCCCCTACCACCACCATCGCCGCTGGCAGAGCCTCCTCCAGCTCCTCTACCGCCCGCGGCCCGAACACGTTCGACGCCTCGTGGTCCCGGTCCGCTCCCTCCGGAAGGAACGCCCGCCACAGCCAGTCCGTCCTCTCCACCGACACCAGCGGTGCACCGACCAGCCTCAGCTCAGCCTCTGTGCGCTCCTCGCCACCGAAGTAGGGCTGGATCAGCACCATTCCCGCCAGTCGCAGCCTCTTCCACCCGCCGTCGGCGTCCGCTGCCCAGCGCCGGGCTACGTGGTGGACGATGTTTCCGCCGGCGGAATCGCCCACGAGGAAGCAGCTGGATAGGTCGGCAAGATCTGCAGCGGAGGGGTCAGCGTACAAGAGGCCGCCGTCCTCCAGGAAGCGGAGCACGTGAACCCCGTCCTCGTACTGCGCCGGGCACCGGTGCTCCGGCGCAAGGCGGTAGTTGACGGATACCACGACAGCGTGGACCGTGCGGCAGATCCGGCGGCACACGTCGTCGAAGAGGTAGGAGTCGGGGGACAGGAAGGCGAACCCGCCTCCGTGGAAGAAGACGATGACGGGAAGCCGTTCGCCGTCAGAAACGGAAGAGGGGACGAAGAGTCGGAACCACAGATCACGGGAGAGGTCAACGGGGACGTCGGCAGTGCGGACGCCACGAAAGGGTTTGGCGGAGGCGGCGACCCGGGCGTCGAGAAGCGACACGAGCCGGCGGTTGACGGTGCCGTCGGAGCGGCAAGCGGCGTCGTTGATGGCGGAAACGGCGGCGATGACGAACCGCTTGGTGCGCGAGAGGGGGGGAGCCACTGCGGCGGGCGACATTTCTGCTGTTTAGCCGAGCTCGTCTAAGGTGAAGAGCTCGGGAGCCGCGAGAGAGCGAGTTGGATGAGACGAGAGGAAACGAGCACCGATATATGGACTGCGAGAGAGAGACAGACAAGGAGAGAACGAATGAGGTGACGTCACGACGTCACGTTTTACACGAACGTACGAAATCCGACGCTTATATAGTCAAAATGATAACAGAAGTATAATACATTCCGTCCCCAACACTGTGACATCCTCTCTCTCACACACACACGTGGGGACCCCGTGAGTAATGTGAACCCGTCCTCTCCGTCTTCGATGTCATATACGTTACCCATGTGGGAAATCGAGTAACACGTGGTGGACCAACCGTGTCATGCCAATCCGTCACTTGTACGTGAAGTCTTTGTAGTGCCATACGTATACAGCACAAGATGTGGAAACGTGCATGACCATGTATTCCAATTCATAGAAACATACGTTACTGCACGACAAGTAGCCACCCAAGTCGGTAAACTACTCGTGTACTGCTGCTTCGTTCGTGCATGCATGCGGAGGTGACGTCAAAGTCGACTGCAAAGGTCGGTTTTGGTCGTCGATTCCGTATGACTCCATCACAGCATTCAGAACGGAACCTTCCTCGCCAGTTTGAGCAAACGATCAGCAAATGAAACCGTGAGATCACTGCAATGCACACGAAAAACGCAAAACCAATTTTGATGTGAAGGGACAAAAAAGTTGTCTGTTCAAACGTTTTCTTTTCAATGGTTGTTCTTAGAAAGGCCAACTTCTTGACTTTTCCAAACCATCGCTCCACCATTCTCGTGTTTTGGTTTCATAAGTCTGACCATAAATACGCGTGATTAAATGTATAAGTGGCTAAATAAACGAATAACATGTGTTGGTGTAAACAACTTTATGTCGTGGCCTCGGGGCCGACACGGCTTGGTTCGGGTCCGAATGTGCGGGGATCTTGCACGGCGTTTCTCGAGACTGCTGAGGTGGCCGATTACGGTGGTCCGGTCGGGATGTGCGTCGGGAGTGAAGCTTTTCCGCAACGCCGGGAAGATGCAACCCCGTCCTTGTACCTGCACACAGGTCGAGTCGGAAGCTCGGCCTGACCCCTCCGACGATCAAGTTAGACGATGTGGAGGGAGTTTTTAGTGAAGAAGTGTCCTCCCCCTCGTTTAGAACTCGGGGGTATTTACGGGGCAGTTGAGTGTTACCTGACGTGCCTGCCTATAGGAGGCAGGATCGTACCTCTGATGGCATCTGACATCGCCATTGACATTGCGTGGAGAACCGAACTGCCGCAGGGTATGGGCGTGCCTCGGTGGTCGTTCTCCTCTGCCTCGGTCGAGCGCGTTGGGTCAGACAACGATGAAGTCGCTGTCTGAGAGCGGGTGATGTCAGCGCACATCGCGTCGGCATTATTGCCCTCTTTCGGGCAGAGTGTCGTCCAGTCATGGCTGACGTCGTAGTGCGTCATGTCGCCATTATTACCCTCATCATATTCCCCCCCGGAAGAAGCTATGCATCGGTTATTGCAATAGGGGGGAGTCCGAGGCATGGCTTTGTCCTTTGGTGCCGCAGTAGTCTCAGGCGACATGAGGTTGAGCACGTCTCGGGCGGGCAGGCTGCGGCGAGGGAGGTGGTCTTAGGGGGCGTGGAGCCGAGGAGCATGACGCAGGCGGGCTGACCGCGCAGGTGTGTCTCGGGGAGCGTAGAGCCGAGGAGCACGACGCAGGCGGGCTGACCGTGCAGGTGTGTCTCGGGGAGCATAGAGCCGAGGAGCACGACGCAGGCGGGCTGACCGCGCAGGTGTATCTCGGGGAGCATAGGGCCGAGGAGCACGACGCAGGCGGGCTGACCACGTAGGTGTGTCTCGGGGAGCATAGAGCCGAGGAGTACGACGCAGGTGGGCTGACCGCGCAGGTGTGTCTCAGGGAGCATATGGCCGAGGAGCACTACGTAGGCGGGCTGACCGCGCAGGTGTGTCTCGGGGAGCATAGAGCCGAGGAGCACGACACAGGCGGGCTGACCGCGCAGGTGTGTCTCGGGGAGCATAGAGCCGGGGAGCACGACGCAGGCGGGCTGACCGCGCAGGTATGTCTCGGGGAGCATATGGCCGAGGAGCACGACGCAAGCGGGCAGGCCGCGCAGGTGTGGTCTCGGGCACCATGCGACCGAGGAGCACGACGCAGGCGGGTAGGCCGCGCAGGTGTGTCTCGGGGAGCATAAAGCCGAGGAGCACGACGCAGGCGGGCTGGCCGCGCAGGTGTGGTCTTGGGCATCATGCGGCCGAGGGGCACAACATGGTCCGGCGGGCCCGAGAAGCTACTTGTGCTTCTTTCCCTCCTTGCCTACTTAGCAGTAGCGGGAGTCAAAAAGCTACCGTATTTGATTTCCTTTCTGAGGGGGAGCCGGTTGCTTTTGTCGCACGCTTTCGGGCGTCAAGATCGAGGCGCTAGGGCATTGCCACTTTAGCGGGGTTGCCACGTCAGGCTTTCATTAAGGCGGGCCATCTTTTGGCATTTCTGATGTGACGGTTACGCACGTGCGCGAGTGGGCTGCCGCCCATTCTCGGGAGGCGAAGGGGCGCTGGTTCTGGAGGGACATCCCCTTTAAATAGCGAACGCCCAGCTTCGCTTTTATCTTTCATCGCTGAGTTTCCTTCTTCAAGTCTTGTCGTTCCCTTCCCAGTTTTCTTCCTCGCCTCCTGTGTCGTCTTCCCTTTCCCCGTAGCACCTTCCTGTCAAGGTCAGTTAAGATGTCGTCCTCTTCTTCCTCCTCTTCTTCCCCTTCCCACGTAGCTGGAGGGGGATGTCCTCCGACGTCCCCAGTGGAATCCTCAGATGGGGAAGTGGTGCGGGCCCTGGAGGCCTTGATGTGGCCGCACGACAATGACTCCACCGTGAGTGGGTCTCTGTTAGGGAGACTCCGGGAGTGCTATAGTATCCCGGAGGACCATATCCTTAGTGCCCTTGAACCGGGACAACGGGCGTATGACCCGGTCCCGAAGGGTTTCGAGCTGACCTTGGACGCCCTGGAGGCGGGTCTGCGTTTTCCCCTTCATCCCCTCATTGTGTCCTGCATATCTTTCTGGCGGATTTCGCCATCTCAGGTGGTGCCGAACTCCTGGCGCTACCTAGTGGTATTCCTGGGGGAATGCCACTATGCAAATATCACCCCCACCCTCAACCTCTTTCTCTCCTGTTATCGCCTCTCCAAGGGTTCGGGGGGTTACTTCCTATATGCCCGGACGAGCTTTCGAATCGGGGGGGGCCCTTGTAATAATAAAGGTTGGAAGGGGAGGTTTTTTTACATTTGCTGCGCACAAGACTGGGGTTACGGGGTTCGGTGGTCCGCGAGGGCGATCGACAACACCACCCCACTTTTGGGCGAAGCAGAGCGCCAAGATCTGGGGAGGCTCAAGGAGATTCTCCCCAGGTCCCAGGCCCTCCGGAACATGACCGAGCGGTGGCTGGTCGAGTCGGGTCTCAGTCCGATGCCTCTGGGTATGTTAGTGACGTTTGGTTCGGGTATTTGCGCGGTTCATCCCTGATATTAATACTCTTCTTGTCTCTTGTATAAATGGTGAACCTCCGGTCGCTCTTGGGGGGTAAGGCGTCGCAAGCTCCTCCCCCAGCACTGCCGGGCGACCTGCCGCCCGGTACGAAGGACGCCCCACTGGAGGTCGAGGCCGGGCGCCCTCGGAAGAAGGCGAAGGTGGCACCTTCAAAGGGGGCTGAGGCGGGCCCCCATCGGGGCGAGGCCGGGCCTAGTCGGCGGGTGGCTAGGAAGGGTCCGCGCCCTCCCTCCGTTCGTGACCTGTGCCGACTGCCAGCCGGGGACGAGGCGCCATTCCTAACGCGGCTAGTGGGCGAAATCCCGATCGGGGAGGCCAACGACCCCCTGGTAGCCCGCTGGGGAGGCCTGTCCCGGGGGGACAGGGTGTGGGTCGGAGGGGACTCCTCCGCAGCATTCATCCGAGGCGCACTTCATCCCGACATGGCTCGGGATTTGTACACCTTGCCCTCGGAGGCTCTGCTCAGCAAGTCCGCCCAATCTTTGACCTGAGTAAGTACTCCTCTTCTCTTTCCGTTCGGGGTCCTTTGTCTAACGATGACCTTCTTGACCTGTCTTTCTTTTTGCAGGGCCTTCATTACGCGACGGCCCTGATGGACAGGGTGCGTGACGCCGACCGGGTCATCGGGGGCCTTATTAGCCGCAACGTCGAGCTCCACCGCCAGGTCGAGGAGGCCCGAGCCGGGGCCGGCCCGGAGGCTGTGGCGGCCGCCGAGAAGTGCGCAGCGGACTCTGAGGCGAAGGCGGCTCGCCTCAAGTTAGAGCTCGAGGCCTCCAAGAAACCAAACAAGGAGCTCCAAAAAACAATAAGGGTGGAGCAGACCGAGCTCCGCCTGTCGAAGACGGAGGCGAGCGCCCTCGGCAATAAGCTGGAGGAGGCGAAGGCCGAAACAAGGGCGGCCTCGAAAGCACTGGCGGAGGAGGCCCGTCTCCGACCCGTCAAGGATAAGGAGCTCCTTGAGGTGTATAAGAAGTCCGAGGGGTTCGAACTCGGGCTAATGCGGACGGGGCAGGTGTCCTTTGAATATGGATACCGAATCGCCACGTCCCGTTTCCATGCTCGTCACCCCGGCCTTGAGGTGGAGGAGGACCCCTTCACTCCCCACCCCGAGGATCTGGAGGTAGATATGCCCGAGGACGTCCCTTTTGACGACCGCCTGGACATCCCACTATAATAAAGAGGGGTCCTGTATGTTTTTGTGAGTTGGGGTCAGATCTTGTGAGTCGGGGTCGAGTCCTATAAGTCAGGGTCGAGTCCTGTAAGTCACGGTCGAGTCCTGTAATCTTAGTTTTTTAAATAAAAGAAAATTTTTCTTCTCTCGTGTGTTTGCCTAGCTTCTTCTTCTTCCCTTAAGCGAAAAGCTTCTTCTTCCTCGGACGAAAAACTTCTTCTTCTTTAGACGAAAAAACTTCTTCTTTTAGGGAAAAAACTTCTTAAGGTTCTGGACATTCCATGTTCTCGGTACAGAAGAACCGT